TTCCTCAACACGTTCATTAGAGAAGACCAGGAAATGTTAGCTGAAAGCACATTCAGAGAAAGAAATTTGCAATGTAAAGTTTATTTAAAAAAAAAAAGTTCCAGCCAGCCTATATTCACAAAAAACAAAGCCTAATCTGTAACTAAAGTAAAAAGATAGAAACGGCATTTTCTGGGGTGTTCAGGGGGAATTGTACAAAATGATTTGCAAGATCTCTGTAGCAATACAGTATTTTGTAGAAAACAACAGGGAGTGGGGTGAGTTTTAACCTTCAGTCCCTCTCCCCACAAACATATTTTTTACATATTATAACTGATTCAAATCCCAACTTAATGGCTGCTGTGGAACGTGCTTTTTTCAAACAAACAAACAAACAAAAGCAGTATGTGATCCAGACAGCTAAGGAATAAACTTTTTCTGCTTCTTAGATATTCCTTCTTGATGAGGGTTTGTTCTCAAGCTGTAGTTATGCTGAGATGGATAATTTGATTGATAGCTAGAAAGAACTGGAGGTTTTTATTTCACATTTTGCTCTGAAATGCTGCATTAATTGTGTTGTTCTTTTCAGCACAGACGCTTCAGTGATATTTTAGGATTTGTTAATATTTCTGAACTTCTTAGAAAAAATAACAGCCTTGCTGATAATTAGCAAATTGCCATTCCACAATGGAAATACCTGAGCTTTTACTTAAGATCTGTTATTCTCCTTAATATGAAGGTTTTAAACACACTTTAATAAGAAGTCCTTTTGAACAATAATAGGAAACAACTGCTATCATTAGAAGTACTTTATTTCTACTGTGAAAATAGCGGTATGCTGTCCTGAGTGACAATAACCTCTACTGAATTTCATTCTGTAACCTCAGCTACCTCAGCAGCTGAAGATGCGGCCAGTTACAAAGCCAGCTTCATCCATTTTTGCCATGCAAAATATAGATTAAATATGCAAACTAGCATGTGATTTAATCCAGTAAAAGTGGAATAGCCTGTCAGAGAAAGTACACTGGCAAATGGGCAACCAGTTGAACATGTTATATTTTAATTTGCAGAGACAAAAATGACAAGCAATTTATTTACATAAAACTGTACAAAAGCAAATTAAATTATGTAAATATTTCATAAATAGAGGTGGACTAGCGTTTAATACATTTTGCCATGTTTAGCATAGTTGCGTGCATAGTGACTCATAATAAACAATGATAAATTGTTTTCTGCTTCACTATCAACATCCAAGTTGCAGAACAATAGTCAATGATTAATATTACAAACAGATCGTACCACACTGAATGCAAGTGCTTTAAAATTTAGGAAAAAGTTGTCTGAAAGCATACCCCAGGTAGCTGGTGAATGTTGTCATCTTCTTTGTGTTTATGCTCTTCAGTCAGTAATACAACTTAACTGATGGACTTTCATTTTTATTGTTATTTCTTCTGCTTCATTCCTTAAGGAAACACTGTATATTTATCACCAATGAAACAAAAGGAAAAATATTTTGTTGTTCAAGTTCCTTACAAGTGTTTGGTGATGGCTGGATTTATGGCAAGGTCTTTATCCATATTCTTTGTTTTCCTGCTTGCCAACTTCCTAGGGTAGCCTTTCAGTCAATGATTTCAATTCCATTTAAGTTCTTCCCCTACATAAAAATAATGTTAACTTTTTTTTTCCTGAAACTCAGGCAGCAGGCCAGTCAGAAACCATATTGAATAAATGTAGCGGATCTGAGATCCAGAATGAGCATTAGATTTTAGACCAAAGCTATTGAATTTTCTAATACATACAAAGTTATATATTAATGCATCAATCTATAAAGGTGCCCTAATGTAAAATACATGCAAAGCTCATTTGTGTTTCCCATGGAAGGAAATTAAAGGATGATTTCCATACTGTACAACTGAAATGTGATGATGGCTAAAAGCAATTAAAGAAAAATTGTCACTTTTCCTGTCAACATGGACCTGTGACACCTTGCTAAATAACTATAACATAGGCTGATCGCAGTTTTCCAGGCAGCAGAATTAAAAACAAATTAAAACAACCCCAACCCCCACACAAATAGTAATTAAAAAAATCCTCAAGACCTACTTAAACCACAGCCTTGTGTTAATAATGCTTAAGACTGGTCCATTAACTGAGTTTGGCAAAAGGCTTGTTTTTAAATATATTATTTATAATTTCTCAGAAAATAAACACAAGTAAATATACAGGTTCAAAAAACTTGGGAATAGCCCCTTATCCCTCAGTGTTCAAACCCAACTACCACTTTACCATAATAATAGGTATAAAAGGCACAGTTGCATATTTTGCATTCACCCTAATTATTTTTTATAGTTTTATTTGTTTATTTTTATACAAAAGCACTCTACTTATCGAGTGGCACCAGATTTAACCTATTTCAAATAAAGAGGAAAAATACAAACACAAAATATATTTGTATGTCATGCCAGGTCAGAAGAGTAATCAGCATATTAATAGTGGCTAGTTCCACTAGAATTACTGTGAATACTTACCGTAGATAGAATTTTTAAAAAATTCTTTCACACTCATTTTAGATCTAAGGAGATGCACACAAGTAAAGTATTTAATGGCTGTCTTATGTGGTGCAAAAATTGGTGAGTGACTGCTGATCCATTTAATCTGAAGATTTTCTATGACCTGTATTATTAGCCTTGTAGAAAAAGGGTCTAGGAATATATGGAACCAAGCTACCTAATTTATTTTTTGTGTAATATTAAATAAAATCTTATTAAAGGAAATTCTGTTCAAAATTTGTGTTATGCAATTGTGTATTCTGTTGAAACGTGCAAGAAAAATGTGTATACATTACATAAGCATTTTTTGAAGCATTTTTAAACAGGTACTTACAGATTATACAAAGCAGTAACTGCTGTATGCAGTCTCATAACAAAGTACTAGTTTGCATCTCTCCATATTACTTGAATAATTAAACATTAAAATGTTCAATCATTATTAATCTTTTATTTTAATATTTTCTTTCTAAAATGTGCCCATTCATCATAACTGCTCTACACAAACTAATGTTACTTGAAGAAAGTAACTTGAGAGAGGAGAACAAAATGGCCAATAATGGCACATGCCACTATATGGAGAAGTGAATTAAAAAGATAAATATGATGAGTTGTATAGATTTACCAACCTCTACTTTAGGCTGTTTAAGGTTATTTCTATGCAATTCTTCAAAGCAAGAAACTACCCAAAGCTACATTGTGACTACAGTATACTAGAGAGCCATCTAGCCATGCCTTAACGCCAGGTTAAACAGCCAGGGATTTGAATCCTTTCCCCCTCCTTGAGCTGTCCTTGCTGTGTTGTTCGATTGTCGCTTTCACCTGAATGTCTGAGCTCAGTCTGTCCTTATTATTACAGCATCAGCTACAAAGCAACTGGATGAAGTTCTGCATGTTTTGTTGCTTTTATTGCACAAAAACCTGTTTCATTTCCTCTTCCTTTCAAGAAGCGCTCACCATGAGAATCGTTACAGGCCAGAGCTTTTGCATATCAACGTAGCTTGGACTCCTTTTGACTCATCTTGACCTGCTAGGTGAGTATCATACCACGGTTTATCAGATCATTTTCTACCTAGCCTAAATGTTCTGAGTCTTGACATCATTAAGTATTGCACTTCTCTTGGTTTTAATGCACTTGTGTTTCAAGTAAAGCTGCATTATATCTTTGACATAATTGAAGCAATTGGTAAACTGCAACACTGATGACAAAAGACTTAGCAATCATTCCTTGCACTCTGAAAAGAAGGTTTTGTGTTTGACTTGTAATATTCTCTTGTCACTGCATCATCCCATTGTCCACCCTTTCCATCCCACCAAGCATTCTCGTTAACACAGCCTTCTATTACTACTACTAGTTTTTTATTTTGATCGTAAAAATTCCCTGGAACTGGCATATACAGCATATCATATGCAGCATCTGCTGCAACACATCATGTCATTACAAAACCACCAACATCAGTTCCTTTGGGCATTCAACTGAACCACACTGGAAAAAAAAATTGGGTCATCTGGGCTTGTGAACTGTGCTGCTGTGCAAAATGTAATTGAAGGTGTGTTATGAGTACATGCGTGTATTTGTGAATATATTAGTTTTCTAAGCCAAGTCCCAATACTTAGCGGTTCCCCTGATCCATTGTGTGATCTTTGGCCTTTTTGTTATTACCATCTTCCCAGCTAGATGTTAGTCTTGCCCAAAATAATGATTTCAACAGTTTATTATTACTATCCTACAGTATATGTGTTACTAATTGTGTTTACATTGAAGTAATCGTTACAGAAAACAAGAGAGAAGGAGAGAAACAGACACAGCAAGAATACTATTGTTCTATGGTTAAAACAGAACCAGAGTTCATGAATCATAGTAAAGTATGCCAAGTTTTTGACTGCAGTCTCAGGCTGAATGTATTTCTGTTGTTTTCAGCCTCAGATGAGAGGTGAGAATATTAAAGCTGTGGTCTTCACAAAGTGCCTATTAATGATTATTCCTTTATATTTATCTCAATATCTGTATGGTTTCTGAAGGATTGTCCCTGGTGGGGATCAGCAAAATTCAGATGATATGTCTTGAATACATTTTCCCCGACCTGTTATCCTCAACAAGCCAGATGACAATCAAACAAAATGAGTGGTTTAACTCATGCTTCTGAAGAGGGTAAACAACAGTGTGTTGTGTTCTTTTTAATCAAGCTCATTACTATGGGAAGAATTTGCAACCATAGATTTAGGAAAATAAAAATCAGTGAGGGGGAATTAGACATGCAAGTAACAACCATGTTTTCTACATTGTACAGTATAGTCAGGCGGACAGTATAATTAAATGCCTGCTATGGAGGCAGAAGTGGCAGGCAGATCTTTTGTCTCTTTGGTGGCCCCTTCTTTTTTGTTTCTCATTTTTTGTTAAAATTGTTGTGTTTTTAAGACTTTTGCCCCTTTTCTTTCTTATAATATGAAAGAACTTTGTTGCTGCTTTTTAGCCTACAGGTAAACTTCTCTTCTAGTTAGAGTATTGACAGGAGATGGCTTGTATTCCCCTGTCTGTGTAAGGGGGATATCCTCTGGATTGCCTTCTTCATTTTTGCTGAAACTAGCCGTGCTGAAGGTTTCATAGGATGAGGTCAACTTTTTGTTAAGGAGGTTTCTGTTGCGATCACCCATGAGGGAGGCTTCTCCATTGGCCAGCTTTTCCTGACTGCCCCGTTCGTCGACAGGCATGAAAGTGGAGAGTTTTGGCTGGCTCTTCTGCTTTCTTTCAGGAGAAGTGCGAACTGGCATCCAGCAGGAGTCCGAGTGGCCATATTCATCACACTCTCGGGTACACTTCCCTGTCAGGGCTACATCTGGTAGAGGTCTTGAATCTGAAAGTAAAATAGAGTTGTCTTTACAAATAAATAATATTGCAATGACTGCCAATGAAACTGAGAATCCTTAAATTCACAAAAGGTATTTTTAAAGGTTTTGTAAGAATATTGCAATAAGTTCCTCAAGTAATAATTTTTTTACATTGCTTATGCCCATAGGAAACAAGCATATCTGTACAGATATCCTCAACCCCAAGTACTGACAAATAAGAGTATTAAGCTACTTTCTATGCTTGTAAATCTATCTCAAAAGCATTTGCCATTAGGTACTGAATGAATTTGGATGTCTAAAAGAGTCAACCAAGCACTTAATTCCATCGTGCCAATTTTCTTGAAATTATTAAAAGTACTTTTCTTTGAATTTTTTGTAAAGAAAGCTTTGAATTTATGTGAAAGGAACCTGAGGCCTTGGACCCTGCAAATACTTATGAACATACTTAACTCCCTGCAAATGAGCAGTTCTGTTATTGACAATGGGACTCAATTTGCACATCATATAAACTTCTGCTTGTATTTCTCAGGATTGGGTATTCACTGTTAGTATACAATATGTTACATGAATCGTACGATCAATGACTAGTAGGAGCATACAAAATACCTGCTTTTGGTTATAAATGTGATCTAATACATATGGATAAAGCTGTTCTGTGTGTTGTGTGTGTGGAGGGACGGGGAGAATCTGAGTATTGCCTGAATAGATGCACTAACATTTTAAATGTTGGAAAGTGTCCTGTTCCAGATCACTGTGTCTAAGTTTTCTAGCCACTGTACTTGTAAGAGCTTTTGCTGAAAACTAGCAAAGTTCAGGGGACTGCAGGGTTGACTCCTACCTAATAAAAACACAAGTATCTTGAGACTTACATTACAATTGAATTACAAAGCTACCTCAATGGTTTTAAGCACTGGGTAAGACTCTGAAACCTTACTCTTATTCAGTTATACTGTACTTTATTGTCTACAAGAAATAACTGGAGCTGCCTACAAAGTAACAACATGATATTCAAACAATTAAAGTTGACAAAGAACAAAAATCAACAAGTAAATTAATTTTTCCAGTTTATTTGATATAACTTTCATATGATATGACTTATTTGATGAAACTTTTAGGTTTCTTTTATAAAAAAATAGATTATCAGAAAATTTGCCAGTAATAAACCGTGCCTTATAAAATATCTTTCAAAGGATTATTTAGCCTTCATTTTGTTACTTCTTTTTTGCCTATTTTTTCTTTGATTTTGGCTGCCAGATGGCCATCTCAGTGACAACCCCAGTTGTGAAATTTTTATAAATTCATAAAAAGGACCACTGCTGAGGTTTAAAAAAAAAAGCAACTAAAAATCCTTTGCCTCTTCCAGAATAAACTGTTTTAATTTAAAATATTTACAACAGGTGCTTGTAAAGAAAGCATTTTTCATTTCAGCATCTGCAGATTTAATCTTGATAGAACTGCAAAAGCTCTTGAAAGTCAGATTTATGTTCATCCTGTCCTGGTTTTTTCATGCATTTAAACATTCATTTAATTATTAATTTGTTGTAGTACTGTAAAGAATATGCATATTATTTATTATTAACAGTTGTTAGCAAATTATAGAATCTGCTGTATGTATTCTGAATACTGTGTAATTCTAATTTCAATATGTCATGGATTTTAATGAGGAAAACAACACTGATTTTTAGATAACTGAGTAACTCAGTAGTTGATATCTATAAGGCAGGAGGAGGGAACTGAGGGTTGGGTTTTTTGTTTGGTTTTGGTTTTTTTTCCAGCTGTACTTTTTAAGGCTTTTGCACTTAGACTCAGCCATGATTCCCACATTTTTTCAATGAAGAATGCAAAGACAATGGACTATCAATCAGCCTATCAATTTTCAGATGACTCTGTTCTGGAGATGTAGACAGAAGATGGTGACTGTAACAGGAAAACTCTCTATTTGTCAGCTAAATCTAGTATTATTCTGGCACTCCCTAAAGGTAAGAAGCATAATTAACTGCTGAGCTGCACCTGATGTGCTTTGATTTTTAAACAGAAAAACCCTCTTCATATTTTTACAACAGGACAAATCCCCTTTCCATCTAAATCTCAATAAACTCTTCAAACAGCACCTTATTTCCAGTGACCATTAAACATTATGCTTCCTACTAGTATTTAAATTATTTCTCTGGCAGAATATTAACAAGTGCTTATCAAGGCAATACGTCTGACCTTTGTTTAAAACATAGGACCATATGTTTATTGAAAAAGGTTTTTTTTGTTCTTGTTTAGTTTTTTTTCCAGACTGAAACAATTAATGTCTCATTATATCTGATGGTTTCTTTTTAGTGCAAACAAGTCTTGAGCCAGCATTACTTGGCTTGATAAAGATCCTTCCCTTGCTAGGAGTCCTTGAATCACACACTTGAAAATCTGCCACTTTATATTGTAGTGCATCCCCTATTCGCTCCTGGACAAATATTAGAATTCCTTATTGTAAAGCATGAGGACTTGCTGTACAATTCAGCCTTATAGTGCTGTTTTATGAAACAACCACCCCTAAGTCAGTATGTGTCTAACTCACCCTGTTGGGTTATGTGATAAACCTCAATTTCACACCCACAAAAGAGCTGAGAGGCACTGGCAGGATAATACTAGCCCAAATAATACCCTGATGGGCTACTGCCAGGCCCATCACAGGGGCCATAAGCCCATCAAAGGTCCATCAGCCCAGGCCCAGAGGAACATAGGGGTGTACAGCGGCAGACAGGAACACAAATCAAGGACTTCGGAAGAAGAACCACCTTGTCCGGCTCCTTCCCAGGGCTATCTAGCAGAGCCATCAGCCCCATCATCCAGGTGTGAAACCCATCACCATAAGTAATTGGCAGCTGCTGTCCATATCACCTTGCTAACAGGAGGGTGGCTGCCTAGGTATGCAGGCCACATTATGGGATATGGGGGGAAAACATTTTGGGATAGCACAGAACTTAGGCAATGTTTAGGGGAGGAACAAAAGGAGGACAAGGGAAGGTTTTAGGTGATTTGGGGAGGAACAAGAGTGGAAAAATAGAGAAATAAGGGGATAAATGGGCCAGTCGTATAAATAGTTTGCTGGCTAATAAGCTTGTCTGGTTGTGCCCTGTGCCTGATCAGTGCCATCTTACCAAACTCCTTTCTAACTCTTTTCTGGGTATGGGCTCTTTATTATGTGTGCATTTGCATGTATACATATGAGCATGTCCAGTCTCACTAGTGGACTTCCATCCTGTCCAACCAGAGCAGGGAGCAGAATGAGGCCACTGCTGCTGCCTGTGCTCATGTGAGTGCTCTGAGTGTCTGTGATCTGTGTGGCCAACTGTGTATGTATTTGGTGTATATGTATGCTATGTGTGTGTGCCTACTGGGAATACATCTTCATCTTTGCTACTGGTTGGACCTGGGGACATGGAGCAGCAGCAGCAGTAGCAGCTTTGCCTCCCTCAGGCTGTTGGATCCGGTGTGATATATTTTCCTCTAAAACACCCTTCAATTAGTATTTGGCACGTACAGTTAATGTAGCCTTCTACACCACTGGTTTCTTGCATCTGTTCTAAGAGCTTGAATCAGGACAGCATTTAAGCACACATTCAATCTAACATATTTTGAAATCTGCTCTTCTATTTAAAAGATGGACATAACTTCAACATTTGTCAGGGGAGGAGGGAGGTGGTTTAGGGAATGAGGGAACGTTTTTTGTGTGTGTTATGTCAGAAGACGGGTAAAACACCCAGTGCTCTCAGGACTAAACTATTACCAGTACCTAAACTAGTCAGTTAGGGACAACTTGGGTACTTTCTATACACTGCAGTAGATAGCAGAGATACAACTTTCATTCAGAATAAACTGCCACACCACTTTAGCTAAAAAGTAATTAAATGTATTTTTGCTAATTCCCTGAACAAAGTGACCCTCTTTTGCAGAGTAATGACTTTATGCTCCTTTTTACATTATCTAGTCCATGGAGTTGTGAACAATCTCTGAATTTGGGAAAAAAAAAGTTACTCTTGTCCTCCAGCAAAATTTACATCCAAACATATCTATATCTGACATACTTTTTTAAGTACTCCTCGGTTTAAAAGTTAAACACTTCAGTAGCAACCACACTGCCAGCTGACAAGCCTAATGGAATATGACACAGAAAAGAATTCGTCAGCACAGTTGGCAAAACATCAAGGAAGAGTACAACAGATTTCTACCATGGTTACATATCTGGAAACTGACTCAAATAAGTGCTTAAAATGCCAGTTACCAACCAACAAATTTTATCATAATACTGATTAGTGAGAAAGTAAACCTGGAGGGATGATACTTCTTGTCATACAGAAATTTGTAGATTTGGGGTTAGGTTTTTAACTGTTTACACATAGATTACTCAAATTTACGCTTTTATTTGCATAACATTTTCTTCAGAGTTACAATGGAAGATGTAGTCTAAGTTATTTTCAAACATATGCTCTTATGGCATCTCTACATCAGAACTAGGTATTGCTTGACCATTTTTAAAGCTATTGTAAACACAGTCCCTAAAAATGCAGATATGTAGACAAGTTTTTAAGTGTACATGGAAATAGAGAGTTCAAAAGTTAATATTTGCACTTGCAACAGCTCAGACTTCAGCTATGAAAAAAAAATGGAAAACACTAATTTGCAGGGTCTCACAATCTACTTTCTCATTGCATCCCATATAAGCTTCCACCACCAATTTCCAGTTAGCTGATAAAAGTTATTTTTTCTTAAATTATAGTTATCATTAATCCAAGAAATCTTTAAACATTTATCCCTAATTCCTGAGACAGTGATAGCTTATGTTTCCTATAAAACTTTGTATGAAAGCATGCAAATGAATGGAGTTATTTTTATGCATGCCCATGTTTCTGTTGATTGTAACTGACTGTTGCTTTAGGGCTAGAAGGATTGCTTGTTATCAAAAAAGGAAGGCATGGCAACGTGGAGAAGGGAAATACGATGTTCTACAACCAGTTTA